TGTTCATACAAAAATTTTATAGTTTTATCTATAGCCTTTTCTGCATCTGTTGGACTCACTTTTTCCGATATAGGTGTAAATTCAGTCTCATCCATCATATCTTCCTCTTCCTTATCTGCATTTCGTATAGTATCAACTATTTCAAAATCTGTAAGCCCACCTTCCGGCATCTCATCCTCAACATGAAGGTATTCATACGCATTAAGATCACTATTTGGAAGCTAGGAAATTAACGCTTCAAGTTCATCAATATCCATATCAAAACTAAGAAAAATAGAAGTTAATGTTAATTTTAAAAAAATTATATTATATAATTTTGCATACCTATCATCAGAAAATGCTGAATTATTATCAGGAAATTCTCCAGTTTCGTTAATACTTGGTGGAACAATACCCGTTTTCTTCCAACAGTTTGAAATTGTTTGAGAAGATACTGTTGACCATGCTTCAGCCGCATTCTGTAAAGCATCATAAATGGTATAATCTGCAAGTTCTTCCACAATACCGTCCTGCACATCATCATATGCATCAATCCTATTCTGAATGAAGAGTCGTTTGTAATGACACTTAAATGAATGAATGATCCCCACATCATAAGGCTGAAGTTTAGTGGTAGTATTTGGTGGAAGAAATTTCACATCTATACTATCCAACTTTTCTCGAGTTTCATCTAAAATAAGATGTACTGGTGCATTATCAATTAAAAAAATTATTTTTCGTCTTTTTCGTCTCATTATTTCATTGAGTTTAAGAAGAACTTCATTAAAAATGCTAACTTGCATCGATGCTTTTTTATTCCAAAAGTAATAAACTGGAAGGTTTTTATAATTAATATTTTTCATAACACGAGGAGTTTTGTATTTGTGAATAAATGTTAGCGTCATTTTCTCACTGCTGGTTGCATTTGTTGCACAAAATATTGTAACATGGGATTTCTCTTTTTTATGCCCTGATAGAGAATTACGTGCCAAAACTCTAGAAGGTTCCATCTTCCAGAATAGGCCAGTTTCATCACCATTCCAAATATCTTCAGAGTTGTAAGGTGCAAGGAGCTGTTGTAAAGCAAAACGATCTCTTTCTATTGATTCAGCTGAAGGAGCACTTTCAGCTTCACCTTGCTTTTTAAATTGACGCAAACCATGCCATTTTTTAAAGCCACCTAACCAACCCTCTGAATGATGAAAATCTTCTATTGAAAACTGTTCGGCAAAATAGCTTGCCTTTACCTTTAAGATATTACCATCAATATCTTGTTTAGTATTAAGTGCGTTGTCAACCCATAAACCAAGTGCACCTTCCAGTTGTGGCCATTTTGATCCGCGAAATTTTTTAGTATTCTTTTTGCTTTCTGTAATTGTAAGCCAATGGTCACTTTCTCTTAAAATGTCGGTAATTGTAGACTTCCCAACATTATATTTTTGTGCAAGTTCTACATTTTGGAGTGTTGGGTCTTTCTCTTTCATTTCACAGATTTCACGCTTTTGTTTAGCAGAAAGACTAACTCTTTTTCTTTTCGTCAGCATTATCAGAACTTTTGAAGAAATTTATCCGATTCAGACTAACGGAAATTGGAAAAAGTATTTACGTGTAATGGTGATGCGATCATCTTTTATATTAGCCATATAAGTCACGTAACAGTTCGGTATACTAAATATGCAGCTAATATATTTGGGCTAGCTATAATGAGTTCGGATGCGGTATATAGCAATTTATTATGTGATTTCGTTATATCCAATGTAATTTACTATAAAAAAATTGGTTCTGTAAAACTTAGTTCACTATAACAAGTTTTCGGTACAAACAGGTTCATTATAACCAGTGGCGACTGTATATCTGGTACCCGATATGCAACCGATAGCCTCGATTTTGACCTGTGTTAGTGCCCATTGTGCCCAATTTGCAATGATTTACGTCAATTTGAAACTCTTGAAGAACTAAATCAGCATCTAATTTTAAACCATAATGATAGCGTTGTGGATCATTCAGGCGCAGTCAATAATACGAATTATAAAAAATGAGAAAAAGATAACGATACTGCTTCTATCTCATAATAAACTATTTTATTATTTATTGAATCATGTAATCGTACTTATCATGAATTCTTTAAAACATGTTTTATCTTATTTTTTTTACGATAAGGAACTATTGCCAAATCTACTGAATATGAAGAAGATTATCTTATATGTAAAGCACTTGCTAAAAATTATGATCGTGAGTCTTATGAAAAACTCTTAGTACAGTACGGACTTACTGATGTCATTGATTTGGATGATTTTTTTTGAGACTTCACCTAACTTAAGGATTTGCTCACGGAAAAATTTATTAGATCCTGATTTTATTTTTTTCATAAAAGTGAGATTATAATGAAAGATTTAAATGTAGGTTACTTATATAATTTTTCTTAGCGATAGCTTTTCTATATAATATTTTATTTTGCAAATATATAATTTTTTTACTATGTATATGGTTACGCTATAAGCATATCACAATTTACAAGAAATTATACTACAATTTGCCTTACTATGGTAGAATTTGGATGACAAATACATTTTTTTAAGTCTCTCTAAATAAAGTATTACTGTACGTGTATAAATACATAGATCCGCTGTATCAAGTTTTATAGACGATTTTTATGCATTTGTCAATTGCTTGTTTGCAATCTTTTGACATTTTAATAGTTGCTATGTCCAACCAGTTCAAAGCATTATCTTGCATTGATCACTTCATTTTATGAACTCTTTCATTCCTCCTTAGTTTATAACTTATAACATCCAATCACAATTAATTCGTTAAAAGTTATTCCACCTAAAAATTCGCAAACTCTTTCAATTCTTTTATGTATATTTAGATCGACACTCCTGTCCATTATAAGGTTGCTTGCCGAAACTAGGAGGTTTCGGCAAGATGGTGTATACGAAACTGCCAAAACTAGTTTCGCAAAATCGCCTTAAAATGCTGAAATGCTGAAACTGCCAAAACCTGCGAAACTGTTTTGACGTTTCGGCATAGTATATCATATGATATACAGATAGTTTCGGCATACACTATAATCTGCAGTTTGCAGATTTTATTCTGATCAGTTTCGGTACATCATATGACTTACTGATCGTACTAATTTACTGATCTGATAATCTTTTTTTTATTAAAAAAAAAAAGGTTAAAAAAAAACATTTTTATTGTTTATAGTTGGAAAAAATAAACCCGCCCTAAACATGAAAGGTTGGGTTTTTAATTTATTTATTTTTTTTGTAGAAATGTCACTAACATTCCTTTTCTCTTTTTTTCTTTAGGGACACCTTCCGGACCTGGAATTCGGCGAAGTGGTAGGTTGAAAAAGGGGAGGTGTGGTTTTATTTTAATTTAGGAACGTACCTAACGTTCCTTTTCTTTGTTTTTACTTTAGGGCGCCTTCCGGACCTGGAATTCGGTGTAATGGTAGGTTGGAAAGGGGGAAGTGTTGTTTTATTTTAATTTAGAAACATACCTAACGTTCCTTTTCTCTTTTTTTACTTTAGAGCACCTTCTGAACCTGGAATTCGGTGAAACGGTAGGTTGAAAAGGGAGAAGTGTTGTTTAACTTGTTTAATTTTAATTGTAGGAACGTATCTAACGTTCCTTTTCTCTTTTTTTACTTTAGGGCGCCTTTCAAACCGGGAATTTGGCAAAACGGTAGATTGAAAAGGGAAATGTTGGTTTTTTTTCATTGTAGAAACGTACCTAACGGTCCTTTTTCTTTACTTTAGAGTCATTCTTTCGGGACATGAATTCTGTTGAAATGAAATAAAAATAGCCTCCTGGACGAACCTGGACTTAGAATGTAAGGAATGGTGGAAGGGGAGTTTTTTTAAATATTAAAGAAACGTACTGACGTTTCTTTATTTTTATTAGGTTGCCAGATTCCTTGGACGAACCCAGACTTTGGAATGTTAGTTGGAAAAGGGAGAGGTGATTTTTTTTTAATATTAAAGAAACGTTACTAACGTTTCTTTCTCTATTTTTTTAGATTATTGGACATTTGGGTGAATAAAACTCGGGTGGGGACTGGGGAGTTTACTTCAAAGAAATGTAATCTCTTTATTATTGTAATAATTATAATAAAATAAAAAAATATTAAGTAAAACAATAAAAATTACAATAATTTTTTTTTAATTACATATAAATTTATTAGACAATTTGAAATTAAAAAAAAAATGCTAAAAAATATTAGAATAGCAAAACTATGGTGAAATTCATATAAAATATTAATGCTTGTTATGCCGAAACTATAGATAAACTTAATTATAGAGGTTTCGCAAATTTTGGCAGTTTCGCACGTTTCGGCAGTTTCGCAAGTTTCGGCAGTTTCACAGTTTCGCGGTTTCGCAATTTCACCACTATGTAAGGGGTTTCACCTTTCGGCATTAGGCCAAATAGGTTTCGGCAGGCAACTTTAGTCCATTAACTCTTTGATTGTATTAACTTGATTAACTTATAATATTACATTGTAATGATATAAAAAGTGGCTATACCATTGAGAAATTATCTTACACACATCATTGATGGCATCCCGAAGATTCTCATTTTAACACATCATTTCAGTTTCATTTCCTTTAAAAAAATAAAGTCATACAAAAGTATTGAAAGTACTTTGAATGGATTGAGGAATACTTACCTCTGTTAAGGATGATTATATTACTATAATCATTAACAACCTCATTCCAATTTGTAATTTCACTCTGAGGCTTCTCCTATATATTTAGTTTGTATAATGTGACTTTATCATCTGGCTGAACTTCGCCTGGATTTACATTCACGTCATTTCAGTATTGACCAACTTTCTTTAATATTTTTGCTTTTTCCATTCTATTTATAAATCAGAAAAATCTTTGAAATAAAATTTATTTTTTTTAAATCAATAATAATATATTTTCAGGTGATCGATCTCACGTAACTATTTCAGCAACACATAAGAAAATTGAAATTCACCTACATGTATACCCCGATGCATGTGAACACACTCTGGTTAAAATTAGTATATTCAAAAGCATCTCGATACTGTGATATGATATTATATATTTGATTTAGTTCATGATAAGAAAAGGAACGTTTCTATACAGTATATTTCGATCTTCAGATATCTTGATGACTTGCCCTCTCGCATTTGCTCAAAGCCAGAATAATACTATTCTGCCCATTTTCTGAAATTACTTCTTCAGAAATAATCTCTGATTGAAGGAAACTTTGCTGTCTGTTCTCATCTTAATATCACGCCTAACATTCTCAACAGCAATATCTGCTCTACTTTTCTTCCAACTCCTTGATTCTGCTCTTAAGCTTGGCTTTTAGCTTCGTATTTTGACTTTAACCTCAAAATTCTTAGCTTCAAGCTCAATAATTTTAAGCCATAAGTCTGGCATTTTTTCTCTGAGCAACTGATATTATTATTCAAACTCAAAAAAAAATACGTGCACTTTGTTACGGACTGTAACCAGATCACTTTTGCCAAGAATGCATCATGATTTTAAATCATGAATAAATTTTATTATTGGTATATAATGAACATTTAATACTACAATATGCAAAGAGTAAATACAAAAGGAATATTTTTTTAAATGTAAGCAATTATAAATTGTTGAAAAAGCTACAGCTAATAATGAATTATTTAGAAAAACTACTGCCAAGAATCAATTATTAAATCTGTAAGAAAATGTAAGATAAGACTATAATAGCGATAAAAAAAAATAAATAGGGTTTTTTATTAAAAACTACAAATGAAACTATGGCAATTAAAAAGATACTAAATACTTTTCCTGGCCAAGAAATTTCTTCCAATTGAAAGATATGCTTGGGAATGGATTGCTGTTGGCTTTGAACCTCATATTTATTATTAAAGCGTATAAAGGCACTTTCCCTTTCCTCGCTGAATTTTAAGATAAAATCCGCACCGGTAGACTTTAAAAATTCTACCCCAAGAACGTTATTTTCAGTAAAATGTGATTTGGATGGTGGTAAATGGGTGATAGTGGGATGATTATTTAATAATATGTGATAAGATTTTGAGTCAGGTAGGGTCACTTTAAATTTTTTGTAAACTTCTTCGCAAATATAAGTGACGGGAGAACCTATATCCACAATGAAGAAAACATTTCGGCTTGTTCTTCTTCCTATTTTTACTGGTAAGGAAACAATGACCCGATAATTAGGGCCGTATACAATTGCTTTGACTTCTTTTAATTCTTTTTGTGTGGTCTCTGCCAAATATGTAACATTTAGCATTTCAGAAACTTCTTGGTGTAAAGCTTTAGATGAAAGATCAATTAAAAGTAAATCGTACATATTTGAAGGGTAGTTATCTTCAGGCATATTGAATATCTTGTGTTGTATATATATCTTTTTAATATAATGACTAGATCAAAGCGAAATTGATATAATGATTATAATGATTAATTAAATCTGAATGATATATCTTATTTTACTCGTGTTCCTTAGTCCCTACTTAAATTATTAACTAGAACTTTCGAGAAAAAAATGTATGACAATACATGACTCATTAATGGAACATTAAATATAGATACACTAGATACACTTCAATTAGCATTAGATCGTCATGTGCCACTTGGCGAATCAGAGACATGTTTACAAAGAAAGTTAAGGTATAAGTATAACAAGGCGAATTATTGTTGATCATTTCCAAAAGAGGTTCTCTCGGGTATACAAATGGCGTAATTGCTGTATTTAAGTTATAGCACACTGTGGCTTGCATAAATTTGTAAATTCAGAATGTCTCTCTTACTTTCCCATATGTTAACCGTTGTCTACCAAAAAATATTACACATGTTCACATCATTTCATGGATAGCGATTTATTTTTTCCAAAGTTATAAGGTCCAATGACATTAATGAGTTGATTGTATTGGAACTTTAGGACATTATTTTATCGTAAAAAATAGTAACACAAGATATATAATACTTTGAATAGTAGAAAGAACAAAATACAGTACTTTATGAGACAACATATCTAAATGAAGAAATTCGGTCTAAATAACATATATTACATGATTAATGATCAATATATATTAAATAGATATAAACGAAAAAAGGATAAGGGCTATGCCTACAAAGTAAATTTTATTATTTTTATTTAACGAGAAATAGAATAACTAATAAAACGAAATAAATGAGTAGCAGGTTGTTTCAAGGGAGGAATCACTCGAGCCCTAACCCATAAAATGAGAGTTTCTTCCCCGCTACTCATTCTTGTGTACCCATACACTAATCTTATCTAATGTTTTACTATAAGAGGTATTCTTTTTATAGAAATTCTTCACAGTTTGCGCACAAATCTTTCCTATACCATAATCAGTTATTTCAACTGATATTCTATTACACGCTTCATCTAAAGTTAAATTTTTTTCATTTATAATCCGCTCAACAATCTGTTTAAAACGAGTCCAAATATCGTATGAAACACCTTCAGAAGGTACATTAGACGAAGAGTTAACGGATGAAGTAATTGATTCTGTATCATTTTGCCCTTGGGCGGTCTCTGGCTGATTAACTATCTGTGCTTCTTCACAACGTTTTTTTCTTCATAGAGATCATTAACGATTTGCTCGATGTTATTAATTCTATTAAGAATGCTTTGCGTCTCCATGACAAAATTTTCAATATGTGCATTGATCAATGTGATTTCTGCAGTACAATGAGAATTAACTTTGTTAATCTCTGCAGATAATTTTTTATTAATTTTGGTGTAATATACATCAGAGATTTTTGGGTGAAACACACGAAGTGGCTTTAAGCCTTCTTCGAAATGATTGCGATCCCAATAAGTGTACTGATTTTCTCGATAAAAAAGATGAGGTAACTGACAAAAACAGTATATTTTCATTAAAATTAGTTAAGGACATCTAAATGAAAAAATCGATTAGTTTGTTTCGGTAAACAATTTTAGGTATAATAGTCCAACTTTAACGAACCTTTGAATCAAGATAATGAAGATATTTTATACTTGGAGCGTACGAAGTAGAGAAAAAGATCAAGATTAATCAAAATCAATATTGAAATGTGTTAAATTTATTAACAGTTTTGTGCAGAGCGATATTAAATGATCAAGCAATGAATTTATTTTAGTGAAACTGGGCAAAACATACATTTATATATTTTTTCTTACGTAGAATGAGCTAACTGGGTTTAAAAAGATGATATCAGACGAAGACAGCCCAAAGGGCGAATGTACGTTGAAGAGAAGACAATAAAGACAATAATGACAATCAAGACAATAGATTATTAATAAACACTCAAAGATGAGCGCAGCATACAATTATTTTATTATCACAACCTTAACAATCAAAGAAATATGATATCATCATAGTAAACGCAACCCTCCCTGATCATCTTTGCAAATCTCGCCATTGCTAGGACGAAATAGACAAGTACGGAGCACTAATATAAATCCCTGGTCGATCTTTCAACTTAATCTATGGCAATCAGCAAAACAGCAAAAGCTACTATAATTAAATAGTCAACTACGAATCTCCATTAATCTCTGAATGCATATTATTCCTTAATTAAACAGTGTCTGATCGCTGATGACAAATCGTCAAATCGTTATTTTAAAAAATTCGTTAGTGTGTCTTTAATCAGTTAGTTTCAGTTGGAGAGGCACAAAAATATACCGTTTATTTCTGTGATTTGTCATATGTGTTAGGTAAGGGAAAATAGATGACTGAAACAATCAGGAAAATAATCATGTGATTTTGGCGAACAAGTTCGTTGAATTTTTTTTATTAAAACACAAAAGATAAATATACGTTCGGGATATAAGCTGTGATACATATACAGATAATGTTTCGAGACTTTGCCCATAATACACCTTTTCTAAGACTTATCTACTGTCAATCAAAGGATATGATATCATCGTTAAAAAAATAATAAACGCGTAATACCCCTGAACATATCAATTCGTGAAACTGTTTATTTCTTCGTAAGGTTAAAGCCAAACCCACACTACTGGTCGATCACACAACAGCAAATAAGCAAATTCCTTCAGAGGTAACATTATTCATTCCGGATATTTTTTTGTGTTATGCAACATCTGTCATTCTATATTAATAACAATTATGTTATTACAGAACTACAGACTAGTTAGTAAATATACTGTTTATTTTTCGAAGTTATGCTTAGCGCCTTAGCCCGAGCTAGTATGCAATTGTATTAGATTAGGTGTGGTTGGGCAAAACTTTACGCCTTATGAAAGTAATTACCCAAATGGATATAATTTCCCTATATCGTTAGGCCAAGAATTATTAACCACAGGCATAACAGGTTCACCAGGGAGTTTTGAAAATTGAAGTATAAATATGCGTCTTTATTCACCATGGGCAACAAATACAAAATCATGGTGGACATCACGTTGACTTATCGGTTCTTCAAAGATGTTGCAGAAAATTCTCCAGAATTTGTTGCTGAGGTCAACACTCAAGATCTCATTTTAGACCTCCAAGAGAAGATTTACGAAGAAGTCAAGAAGTTAAATAACAATTTCTTCGAAATTGAGGCTAATGACTTAAAATTGTGGAAAGTAGAAATCAATAACGGTGATAACGACAAATTTTCCAGTCTCGTCTTGCCGAATGATGATGTGAAAAACTTAAATAAGCTTAAAGAAAAGATAGTGGATCATTGGAATGATGAAGAAAAGCGTTCAAAAGAAGGATGTATTCATATTATCGTTGATTCGCTAATCCTAACCAAAAATAAGGAATTAGTTAAAAGGAGTCAGATCAATCAGGATTTAATGGATCAGATAAATACTTTGACGTTAAATCAAGGCTAGTAGTCATTCTTAGAGCTTGATATATATTTTCTTTGGATTGAATACGATGCAGTCATGCAGATGCTAATAGAGGGTTTTAGAAGAGCACAATGAAGAGAAAGATACCAAATTTTTTACTCAATTATCTGATATGCTAGCTGCGGTAAAGAGACGATGAAAATTTTATGGTAGGTTTCCTGTATTTTCTTTGTGGGCTAGCTAAAGGAAGTTAATATTTATCTGTTATTATTTTCAGTATGTTGGGCAGAGAATACAAGATTGCAACTCGCATTTAGTAATGGAACGATCCATGAAGGCGATATAGTTAAATACAAATACAAAGACGACAACATTACTACTTTAAGAGCAGCAGAAGGGTGGGCTTATATCAATCATGAAAATACCTTTCACCCCACTGTATCATCCTTCGTGAAGAAATTTTTGAAGGTAAGTGGTACTTCTGCTGTTAATTATTGTACAAGCACTAAAACAAGTTTCAATTGGCAATGTATTTCATGATGATATGCCAGAGAGGAGGAGGAGGAGGAATAATAATCGGGTTTAATGGCTTAGTCATTAGTTTCCTGTATACAAGGAGGCCTGCATATCGATGCGTAATTTATTTTTATCTTTGTATACTACAAGCAGCTATCGCTCTATTATAATAAAGATATTTATCATATAAATTTACCCGTGTTGCTTTTGTCATTTTCTTTGAATCACGTGAGAAAGGTCACAAAATTATACCGCAGTAATACTGACCAATAAAATCATTTTGCATTGCTTGCGTCACTCACGCTTTAATTTTGGTCCTGGCATAACATTCGGGGAAAAATAATCATGTGATTTTGGCGAACATATTCGCTGAAATTTTTTATTAAAATAAATACCAATTTGGAACGTAGCCCTAATACACGCAAAAATAAATACAAAGGTTCGGGACTTTGCCCTTGATACATGATTTGGGCGAACATTGTTCGCTGAAGTCTCTATCCTAAAATTATACTACAGCATCTGAGCTGTGCTCACAAAGTGAATTTTCAGCAAGGTTGCTCAATGACCTAGGCTTTTTTATTACCTTCTCTTCACTTCATGAATCTACTTCATACCTGGAGGGTGAATCAGGCTTCTGTGCCTCTTCCAACAACCAAACGATGTAACTGAAAACTTCTTTAACCATGTTTTCCATATTCACATTGTTAGGCCGTTCCAAATTAATTGTTTGTTTAACGTCCATATTTTCTTAAAAAATCCAGGGGGGAGGGGGGTCAAAATAAACAACATCAAAAAATAAACATATAAAATTTTATTTATATAATCAAAATTTATTGAGTGATTTATTAAGTAAAATTGATTTTATCTATTACCAACTTTAATTTTTCCTCTTGTTGGCCAATTATGTCCCTTATTTTTACAAGTTTGACAAAATGGGTATATAGTTGTAAACTTTTTCCTTAGATTATCATCTGGTTCTAATAATCCATCTTTTTCCCCACAATAAAAACAAATAATTTCTGTTTTTAAACGACGGCATGAATAATATACTGCT